TTATTTTTATTATTTTTATTTACTTTTTCATTTTTTTGTGTGGGGGGGGGATTTTATGTATTTTGTATTGTTTACTTAATTTTCAATTAATATCTTTCTTGTATTTTTTATTCTATTTGAAAATAAAAGGCATTTCTTTTAAATGTAACATACTTGTATTCTCTTGTATTACATGTTATCAATATGTATAAAAAGCAACGAACTTAACCAAACAAAAAAGCACAAATACTATCACTGTTTACAAATCATACATGCAAAGTTATCAAAGTAAACATTTAATATTATCAGTGTTTACAAATCATGCATACAAATCATGCATACAAATATCATAATATAGGTTTTCCATCATCTTCAGGTTGAGGTTGAGAAGTTCCCAGAGGGGTCACAGGAGATGGTGGCCTGGTGGTTATCAATGCAGTGTTCATGGCACTGGTGGGCTGTTGACCTGGCATCTGCTGGGTCGACCACTGTGATGGTGGAGGCTGCCACTGGTGACTCTGGGACACCATTCTTGGGGTGTACTGCCTGTTGGTGGAGCTTGGTAGGTACGACTGATGTTGTGGCTGGATTGGGGCGACCTGTTGTTGGTGCTGCTGCTGCTGTGGGGAGTTGGGCATCTGCTGAAACATCTCCTGGCGTTCTTCAGCCTGCCTCTGTCCCTCGTGTAGCACAGCCATGAGCTTGATCTGTGTGGCTCGTTTGATGTCCCCAGGAAGCTGTGCCAGACCCTCATCTATATGTCTGGCAAAGGTGGAGGGACAACCTTTCTTGCCAAACATAAAGTCCATCAGACTTCGCTTCAAGTCAACACTCTCTGTGGAAAGTCTCTGAGAGGGGGGCTCTGTAGACTGGGACTCTGACCCAGAGTCTGACTGGATGATGACTGTTGTTGGTGGATGTACTGCAGGCCCAGTAGCTGTGGCTGTTGCTGGTGTTCCCCTTCCTCTGCCTCTATTATGGATGCTCACCACGTTTCTGCGTTCCACAGTTTCGATGTGGTCTTTGAGGAAGGAGAACTTCTCCCACACCCACTTTTCTGTGGCAGACAGGTTCTTGACTGTCTCAGCACCCTCACCCGACTTCCCCACAGTTCTCTTGAGGCGGCTCATCTGAGTACGGTTGGACTTGTAAAAGGTTTTGAGGGCTGCTACCTCAACACCCATGTCATCAGCTTTGTCCTCCCATAGCTTCTCTTTGTTCTGCAAGTCTTTATAATCTGTCATTCTCTTTGAGTAGATAGAGGGATTGTCTTTTAGCCAGTCAATGACCTCTTCTTTTTGCACGTCTGTCAGTGTTGAATAGTAGTAGGGTTTGTTCGTACGCTTTTTGCGGGCGGCTGCTGTTGACATTGGTGTGATGTCTGGGAGATCATCCCCTGCAGGGTTAGGCTGTGGCTGCTCGGGCTCTGTAAGCAGCATGGCTTCATCTTCTGTCGGCGGTGGTGGAGACCTCGGCCTTTCAGCCACTAGGCCTCTGCCTGTCACTCGTGGCTCTTCTTTGCTGCACCTCTCCTCTCTTGGGTCCCATCTTTGTGTTTTTGGTAGTTTTTCGGGTTTTTCAGGTTCAGGATACTTCTTCTACGTTTGGAAACAATGCAATGAGTGCACTCAAGTCGCAGCGCTATTTATAGGAATGGAGACAGAGCGTGGGTGTCGTAGGAAGCTTGCCAAGCGTAACAAAGCCTACCAAAGCCTGTCAATCCTTGATTGGGAAAGCGTGAAATTACTTCATGAAAGCTTAACAAAGCGTGTCAGATTTTGATGAAAGCGTCTGACCTCGTGTCAGATCTTCATGCAAGATCGTAGCAAATTTGAGACACCTTAACGAAGCGTGTCAAGCGGTGACAGACCTTGAAGACTAGGGTCTCGCTTTGAACCAAGCTATGCTGAGCTTTGTTACGCTTTGTTGAGCTTTGGCGCGCTCTCAGCGCTTCAATCAATTCGTGGCAGAGCACCCAAAATTGTTAAACAGTTTAAAATTTATTGGCGCTCTTGACGAATGTCCCACTTTACTCCAAGCTCTTTTACGACCCTGACGCTTTAATCAAGTTATACTTTGGTGCCGATTTGCACGCCGCATTAAAGCGCAATCAAAGCGCTGTTGGTGTGAACTAAGCATTACTGAGTTGAGTGTCAATCGTGTGTTTACGCATTTGGAATGGGTGGAGTATGCACAAAAATCACGCGAAGCTGTGGTTTGAAATTGCATGACCCACCGGTTCATCGTAATAATGCATTCGCCCCAGCATTTAGACGGATAGAAATATTTTCCGGCTATACAAATGATGTCTGATTATGGAGATCGATGTGATATTTAGTAAGTTGAATAACTGGTGGAATTATATCAAAATATAAACACTAAACCTGTGTTGATTGTAACACGTGCGTCAGCTGAAGACTTGTGATTGGCTGCCGTTTTTAGTACAAATATCATACTTATTCAAATGTCGGCGGAGGGGAGTGGTAAGGGAAACACAATATGTGAAGTTTCCTGTAGCATGCGCAAATTTGGGGTAGGAG